TTTTTTTTTTTTTTTTTTTTTTTTTCTGATGATTGGAAGTGGGGAGGGTAACGAGGTTTAGGATTTTATTTGGTGCGAATTTGTTTTTGTTGTTACTTTTTTTGGGATCTTCCATCTCCTGTTCCGCTCAATTGTGAGGACTTTAGTCCTCTTTTATTCTTGTGAACTAAAATTTTGATACAAGTCGAAATGGCAAGTATATTAAACTGAATCCATTATATTGTACATATGATGGTTGGTTTTAGTTTCTTAAACTTAGGAACCAAATTGAAACTTATTTTCGAATTCAAGGACCAAAATTGTATTTTACCTTTGTTTGTTCTGGTTGGTTGCAAGTTAGCTAGTAAATGAAGGGATGATCTCGTGTACCTTTACACAGTTTGAATGAGATATAGATTTTTTGTTCTTGAGTCTAAATGTCAAGTAAATACATGGGTGAGAACACTCGCATAGTAATTATGCAAATATTTTAAATGCTGTTTATAAGTAGGGACTATCTTCAGACCAAGAACACTCATTTTGTATCAAGAACGTAGCTTTATAGATTATTTAACAAACACGTAGCCTAAGTACTGCGGTGGTCTTTTCTGATTGATTTCAAATCCTTCTGTGGCTCTGTTTATGTAGTAAGACCACAGTTTTTGGGGCCAGCATAATCATGCCACGATGTGTAAACTTTGGTTTAAAATGTATCTTGTGATGGGCTCGGGATACATAAGAACAAATTTTGAAGAGTAGGAATTTGATTTTTTTCCCAGCCTCTTGTTTATGTTTGTTGTGGAATGGGGTTTGTGTTTTTTCTCCTTTCTTGATTCAAATCCAATCTAAAATGTCACTATGGTCACTAAATAAATCAGAACTGTGGGTAATAGAAGGACATTGATGTTGGTTGCTGATTGTATGATTGGTGAATTCTGTTAAGTGACCAGAGTGAAATTTTAGTTTGGATTAAAAGGTATCTTGTGACCAGAGTGAAATTTTAGATTGGGTGTGTGAACCTTGTTTAAAAGGTTATGTGCTCAGGATACATAAGAACGAATTTCGAAGCGTGTAGGAACTTGTTTTTCTCCCAGCCTCTAGTTGTGTTACCTGTAACTTTGTTGGTATAGTTGTACTAATGGAGTTAAATTTTCTCATTTCAGCTTTCAGTGAGAAACTGCTTTATCAGGGGATCGGTGGTGAGATATGTTCAACTTCCACCGGATGGTGTTGATATCGAGCTGTTGCATGATGCCACAAGACGCGAGGCTCGGGGTGGCTAATGTCAGTTAGTTTGGAAGTTTGTATGGAATCTATTCATTGATTAGAGTGCACTTTTTAGTATACGACGTGAGACAATTAGAAGCTCGTACTTTGTGATCTAGCGACACTTTATTCTCTGTTCAACTATTCTCAAGCGAAAAATCCAATGACATTGTATTCAGCGGGTGATAGTGAAACCAGGGTTGAGGCCTTCCGGTGGACAAAAATGTATGTTTTGGTTGCTTCGGATTCACATTCAAACAATTGCATAAACAGTTGAAGTTTAAAGGGACGTCCCACACACCCTTGTATAACCCCCTGTTGCTACTTGCTAGAGCAAGACCAGATTAGTCCTTATAAATTATTGATTAGAAATTCATTTTTATGTTTCTTTCTGAAATAAATGGACCTTTTCCCTTCCATTTTCCCCCTCCCCAATCTCAGAGCCTCGGCACCCCGTTCCCCCGTCAGCCACCCAAAGCACCCGTCGCTGCTGGCCTTCCTTTCCCCCCCACCATTTCCCTCCTACTTTCTCTTATTTGAAAACTTTCAGATCTGTAAAAAGTTTAGAATATTGAGCTCTCGGCAAGCGGCGGACGTGAGAAAGTGCTATTTGATCTATTTTTTCCCTTTTTACATTTAATTTAAAATTAATCAGATATTTATTTTTTCGAAATTTTAATAACTAACTAAAATCTTACAAAATTCTTCCCACCCCTTGTAATTTTCAACCTGGGTGTTTTTGCTCGTTTAAAACTTCCTCTCTTGTTCGTATTTCTTTCCTTCAATCCATACAGAGTCTCCATTGCAGTAGGGTTTTCGAAAAAGCTTGTGAGAATGTGGGCCTGGGGCGGGAAACAACTCTTCCACTGCGTCTTCTAGCCAAACTATCACCACTAGCAGCTCTGCAGCGATCACGAACGATCTATTCAGGTGCGCTTCCACCAGTTTAATAATCCTTTGTCAAATTCGCTGGAGAGAGATTTATTTTCGATTTTTCTCGTAGTTCTTCTCTCAGCCATCCTTCGCTTTTCTATCGTCTGAAGTTTGATCATTAATTCTTTTAAGATTTACTTTACATTCTTGCAAAAAAAATAGCAACGTATTTAGTTATATTCCAAGTATTTTGTAATTTGTACATCTCTTCTCTTATCTGCGAAATTTCCTTTTGTAGTCCAACCAAAGAGTTCATGATAAGGTGGAGCTCGGAAATGACGCATTCCCCCAAACATCTTTTCCTTTTTAGCAATATCACTCCCATAAACCAATAAGCAGACACGGTTCTTAGGAGAGGGTTTCACTTTGTTGTTGTAGTATCTCTACGGTATATAATATTGTTGACTGACCATTCATAATGAGACTGTACTGCTATTTTACCTGAATTGAATTTGATTGTCTTCTTATTAGAAAAGAAGAAACTATCATGGCAGCTTCTATCACCACCAAAGAATGCCTAAGGTTGGCATCTTTTCATTTAACCCTCTGCAATTGTTTCCAATTTTTGTCTTATTGAGTACTTGACGTTGACGATGGAAATTATAGTGTATATTTGTTTACAGACATAAATGCTCTGCATGCTACAAGCAATATAAGAAGAAAGAGCATCTTATTGAGCACATGAGAGTTTCGTATCACTCTGTTCATCAGCCTAGATGTGGGGTCTGCCAAAAGCACTGCAAATCATTTGAATCATTGAGGGAACATCTAAATGGTGAGATATTTTGTGTATTTTTTGTGGTAATATATCATAACACCATCTTATTATAATCCAATCTCTTAGGTCCACTTTCAAAATCAAATTGTTCAAAAATTTTCTTGGAGCAAGGTTGTGGGCTTTGTTTGAGAGTACTTGATGATCGCACATCTCTCAGAGGGCATCAAGACATTTGCCGCTTAACAGCTCCTGTTCGCCAAGTCAGTCGCCTGTGCTCTATGCATCATATATGAAAATTAATAAAGTTACTGATAGTTCTCTTAAAAAAATAAGGTTACTGGTAGTATATATTTCTGGATCAATCTTGAAATTGAACCATTTATTATCAGTTTTTTTTTCTTAATGCGGAACCTACTTTCATGGAGAGAAATGAAAGAATATATACGTCCATACAAAACAAGAAAAAAAGAAAAAAAGAAGAAGAAAACAGCCCCAAAAAGGAGTCCAACACTAATTAAGAAAAGGACTCCGATCCAAAAGAGCAAGATCTAGTTGATATATATATATATATATATATATATATATATATATATATAAAGAGAAGCAAAGACCGATGCCCACAACGAGATATTAATGCTCAATATACCAAGCCTCACTTGCAGGTCTCATCAAGCCCCTAAAAAGCATTTGAACTTTTATTGAAAACGACCTCGATTAAGATTATTATTTATTAAAGTGCACAATATCTGAGCTTATGATATCATACATGCATTTCAAAATTTGATTGGGGTTCTGTTGTAGGGAACAAGTCTATTGCCAACTGATTTATCAGATTGTTATGATGAAGACCGTTCTGATCGAGGCCTTGGAGCAATAGCTATGGATTGTGTAATGGCTGGCGGTGGAAGTGATGGCACACTGGACATTTGTATTGGGATCTGCCTTGTTGATGAAGACGAGAAATTGATTTTCAATACTTTTGTACAACCACATATACCAATCACGAATTACAGGTATTTGTCTGTGTCTTTGTCTTGCTCTTGAAGGAAAGTTTTAGCTTTTAGAAACCAGCCTGTTAGATGCTCATATCCTGGTAATGTTGTAGGCATGAAGTAACTGGGCTAACGGAAGAACGTGTAAGGTATGCCATGCCACTGAAAGAAGTCCAAGAAAAAGTATTAAAAATCTTGTTAAATGGAGAAACCATCGAGAGATTGAGATTGAATGGTGGTAAAGCTAGGCTTCTTGTCGGCCATGACTTGGAGCATGATTTAGATTGCTTGAGAATGAATTATCCTGATCATATGTTAAGGTGAATTTTCTCTAACTTGGGTTGTAATTATGCGTAGATTAGTTTCACTTTTATTGAAAATGAGATGCATTCGAACTTTTAAGTGATCTGCATTTGATAACATGATTTTTTCTGGCAATAAATCCTGTCGTAGGGGGTTAATAATGTGTTTTTGCTCTGAATTTTACACGACATGCTTCTCTTTTTTTGTGCACATTATACTTGCACATTCACCTTTTGGCTGAAACATTTTCTGCAGGGACACTGCCAGATATACTCCATTGATGAAAACAAATTTGGTTAGCCATTCTCTCAAGTACCTTACTCGAACATATTTGGGGTAATATTCTTTGGTTCATATTGATTTAAAGAATGATAGAGTAATTTTTCGTTTCTTTCCAACTGAAGCAAGTATTTTATAAATAAACAAACATAAAAACTTAATTATTCTCTACAAAATGGAGGACGAGGGAAGTAAGATATCACCCAGCCAAAAACCTAAACCCCAGGAGTATGTGAAAAGCGACCTCTATCAAAATTATTATTTATTGATACAAAAAGGGAAAAGTTATGTAAAACTCTAAACAAATTACTCCAAGTGGGTGTTAGTCCCAGACTGGTCTTTAAAGTTTTTTTTGTTCCTCTCAAGACTGATCTAAAAGCCAACTTAAAGCTCTTGTAAGCTTGTAGGATTCCTCCATGGTATTTTTGCTAGACTATAAACCCGCCATCCAGAGAGGATCTAAGCGAGCAGGAAGGAATTTCACAACACCAACGAAATTATTGCGATTGCACATACATTTTTTCATCAACTCTTTTATGTTTATTCTTAATGCTTATCATTGTGCTCTAATACCTCACGGTCTGTCCATATCTGTTACGCTAGGTATTAGGTTGGGCTTAAAGATTAAATGCGTTCTTTATTAAATCTTAGATTTGTTCTTAATGCTTATCATTGTGCTCTGGGACCTCACGGACTCTCCATATTTGTTACTATAGGTATTAGGCTTGTTCAATGCTTAAAAAGTAACTATACTTTTAAAATGCTTTGGAAGACGTGTTCTAGTGCCGGTAATCAAACCGAGCCTTAGATATCAATAAGAATGAAAAAACTGTATCCAACACATCATCCTAGAATGTTTCTAGTTGAATATGAATTCCTTATTATTTTTTAATAAACTCCGTAAGGGTCAAGAAAATGAACTTGAAACCGGCTAAGCTAAGGCTAAGAAGAGCCGCCAAAGGCCAGCTGGCCGTTTTCCGCTTCATTGCTAACTCATGAGCAAATCCAATGTTCTGCATCTTCCATATTGAAGAATCAAATTCATTTGGCCTTGTATAGTGTGGTATTTTACACATAAAATTTGATCATGTGGGTGGAAAATGAGAGAATGTTGTCTTGGTAGGTGGTAGCATGTTTTTCTCTTTAATCTTGTTTTTAGCTTGTGAAGGATGATCTGTGAGGGCCATGGTTTTGCAGGTATGATATTCGGCAGGGTGTGCACGACCCCTATGAAAATTGTGTATCAGCGATGCGATTGTACAAGAGAATGCGCAGTCTTAATCATCATGGACTAGTTACGACACTGTTGATTGCTCCTCCCCTTGCTCAGTATGTTGCTCACAGTATTGATTCCTATAGTGCAAAAGATCTTGAGAAGATGACTCCAGATACACTTTATGAGCTATCGAGATCGAACTTTAAGTGTTGGTGTCTTGACTCGAGACGAGTAATGCAGACTTAGGATCAGATCATTTTCATTTTCTGCTGGGAAGAAAAGGCATAGACAGTACTCATATTGATGGGGAGAGGTGAGGTTGTTGGATGATGAAAAAGGGGGAAATGAGAAGGGAAGGTTGACCTGCTCTTTTGTATCTAGCCTTTCAAGACTTGAAACGATTAAAATGCACCTGTTCTATCGTATATTGGCGTCTTGCCAATTTATGGTTGTGTTTTAGGTCTCTGTTGGTGTTTGTTTCTTGATACAGACGTGTGTCGGAATGGAACGGACTTTAGAGGCATCTTTAGAAGTGTTAAATCAAATATGAAAATGATTCAATATTATTTACACTTTTCTTCGGGGGGAAAATTTGATTCTGAGGTTGGCAAGGTCTCTTATGAAAATTTTCTCTACGAACTGGGTCTCAGATATTACATCTGTGAAAATATATATATATATATATATATATATATATATATATATATATATATATATATA